CGGGGTACCTGAGCGAAGGCGTGTTTTACATATCTGCCTGAGAATGTCATCAAGGATCTGGGTTTGAGGGCAGTGTTGTGTTTGTAGGCGAGGACAGGAGGGGAGGTGTGAGACGAGTGACAGGTTAATCTTGGAGCAGCCTCGTTCGTGCTGCTGCGATGTCCCTTAGTGAGCGAGGGGCGCTGCGCTCAGCTCTTGCAGGTGTAGTGCCTTGCTCCTGCCGGTATAGTGCCTGCTCCTGCTGGTGTAGTGATTGCTCCTGCTGGCGTAGTGCTCAACTATACGAGCACGAATATAGTTCCTGCACTATTCTCGTCCCACAGTCCCACCGAGTAGTTGGTGTGTTTTCGTCTCATGTCCTAGCTCAGGGAGGCTGAGAAGAGGATCAGCTTCGCATGAGGGCGCGAGAATAGCACCGGCAAATCACAGAACAGGAGATAGTTTAGCCAGGCGCAGCACATGACGCCGTGGTGAGCGCTACTGCAGGAACGAAAATTCACTATCGATAGGCTGTATGGAGCCGGGGCGGGAATTACAGCACACGAGGCGAGGGGCGTGGCGCTTATGCTTTGCGTCCAACCACGGCGTGCGCTCGTGAGCAGCGAGGTCGTGAAGAAGGTCGTGCGATGCTGTGCCGCACGAGGAGGCTGCTTTCGGACCACAGGCAGGACGCCGTGTCGTGACAAGTCACCACCAAGCGACCAAGCAGAGTAGCGAAATGGCGAACGAGAGTTACGCTTCGCCGCGTTATTGCCGCGCCGGTTGGAGCCAGTTGGCGCAATCTCGCTGTCCCGGGGTCCCGCGCGAATGGAGGCAGACAGCCGCTCACCGACTACTACAGAGAGGGGGCCAGCAGTGGCAGCGTTGTTTTGGCGTGGTGCAAACAGCCGCAGAACAGCAGGTGGCCAGAGATCAGCCGCCCCTATCGTAAAAGAAAAGGAGGTTTATCGCGATGACATAGACGCCACTGCCGACACCCGCATTGCAATTGCGATGTGCCATTTCAGTGGGTCGCCATGATGTCGCCGCCGCCAGTGCAGCACTTCGGGACCGTCTGCCAGTGGGAGCGGCGGCCTGTGAGATTGCGATGCTGCAACGGGCCACGGCTTGCCGCCAATTCAGGTACCCAGACTACCTATACCAAACAAAGACGACAGCAAGCGATGATCCGGCCTCATTGTGGCACGCCGGCCGGTGTTACGTGCGACTACCTACCGAATACGCAGATGAGCCAGGTGCGCGAGGGTGGAGTAGATCGCCTTGGACATGAGACGTTGGAGCAGCAGCGTCGACGACGGGAGCGGCGCGGATGCTTCACGATCACCACCATCACCAGCGCCGCCTCCACACAATGCGGCTCATCAGCGTGCCCGATTCATTTGGCCCAGCAAGGCTGCCGGCCGGTACTCAGCTTATCCATGTGAAGGATCCCCTAACTGACATGTTTCAGCTTACTGTTCCTGGACTAGCGGCCGGTGCGCAGCGCCTCACGGTCCAACGAGAGCATGGCAGCACGCTCCCAGGACGTCCCATGCTCCACGTACTAATCTAGGGTTTCACCTCGCTAAACCAAAGTATGCCTTCATCTCCCCTAAAAGAAGCCTCTAGCACCGTTCCAGCGTGATAACCGCCCGTTTCCCCATCTCTCCCGTCCTTCTTTTACTGCGTCCTTTCCTTCGCCTTGTCACTCCTTTGGCACCGCCAGCAACATTCGCTACCCATCCAACTAGTTGTCTTCGCGACAACGCTACACTCCTTTCTAGGTCTATCTTCTTGAAGCGCAGGAGAGTCCTGGCGCCTGAGTTATTCACTTCGTCAACCTATCCGGAAGCGACTTCGAATCCCCTCCGACCAGCACAGTGAAAAAAGCACTCACCTTGTCTCAACAACCGACCTTCTCGCAAGACTACTCAACCACCGACTCCCCTCCCAATTCAAGTCGACCGACCATTCAACCATGAAGTCTTTCGCACCCTTCTACGCGGCGGCCGTCCTCTCGGGCACTGCCAGCGCCTTCTGGCGCATGCCCTGTACCGATCGCACTGCGCTTGCGCGTCTCGACCCCATCGTCGATGAGGGAACTGCTTCCTCCCACAGCCACACCATCCACGGTGGAAGCAGTAAGTGAAGACCGCCCCCTCCTGCTTCGGCCCTCTTGGCAAGGCGTATGATGAGTGAGCATGTGTTCTGGATCTGTCAGGGAACGTCCAAACAAGGGGACCCCAAGATGACAAGGTCCACGCGAATCATTCATGCAACGACTCTCCATATGGGCGCCTGAGGCAGGGGCTGTTTCGCGGATAATACAGTTTGCTAACAGCTGACAGACTTCGCCGAGACGACCACCTATGACATGCTCCGTAAGTCGGAGTGCACCTCGTGCCAGTTCGACGACGACAAGTCCGCCTACTGGACCCCTTCCCTCCACTTCGTCCACGAGAATGGAAAGACCGAGATCGTTCCTCAGATCGGTGGTATGCTCGCATACTACCTTCTCATCGGCGACAACCTGGAGGCTTTCCCCGAGGGCTTCCAGATGCTCGCTGGTGACACACGTCTCCGCAACTTCACCGGTCCCGTTCCTGACCCGCCAACCTCTTCCTGGACTGCGGACGACATGACCCAGCTGTCTCTTGGCCAGAAGGCCATCGGCATGAACTGCATGAACTACGGCAGGGCTCCCGAGGGCTCGCGCTACCGTCACTTCCTCCCTGACAAGGAGTACATGGACGAGAACTGCGCCGACGGTATCCGTGCTGAGATCATGTTCCCCTCATGCGGTAACGGCGATGCGACCGCTCCTGACCACAAGAGCCACATGGCTTACCCCAACATGGTCGACGGTGGCGAGTGCCCTGAAGGTTACAACAAGCGCTACCCTACGCTCTTCTACGAGACCATCTGGAACACCAACAAGTTCAAGGGCATGCCTGGTCAATTCACATTCTCCAACGGTGACCCCACTGGTAAGTCCACATGCTAGCTTTCTTACGAGCCAATTACTAACTAGAATCAGCCTACGGATACCACGCTGATTTCATCAACGGCTGGAACATCGATACCCTCCAACAAGCTGTCGAGACCTGCACCAACCTCTCTGGTCGCGTTGAGGACTGCCCTGTCTTCGCCGGAAGCCTCCAGACCCAGGCCGAGCAAGCCACGTGCAAGATCCAAGACATGCCCAAGATTCTCGACATCGACGACTGCGCTGGTCCTTCTAACGGCCTCTGCGGTAACGTCAAGGTTCAATACGGACCCGAGTACGCCTCTCCCCTCGAGGGAGGCGACAAGGACGACGAGGAGCCCGTCAAGCCCATCTCCTCCTCTGCCTCTGCCCCTGTCCCTACTCAGTCCTACGCTCCTGCCCACTCCCTCGGTGGCGGCGGTATCTCTGTCTACAACGTCGAGAGCCCTTCCTCCATGGTCACCAAGTCCTCCTCTTCCTCCTCCATGGCCGATTACGCTGCGCCCGTCGTCACCCCCATTGCCGACATTGCCAACGCCCTGAAGGACGACGAAATTGTGTCCACCTCTACCTACACCAAGGACGGTGTCGTGTACGAGGTTGCCATTGTTGAGGTTGTCGTCACCACCACTGTTGGTGCTGACCGCCGCCGACACGCACACAAGCACCGCCGCGACCACGGTCACATGGGCCGCAACTAAGTCTTTACTTTTCAATGAAACAAAAAAGACTTTGACGATAAGCAACCCAAAGCATAAACGGTTCTTGCATGCACATCGGCGTTCTTCTACGACAGCACACGACGACAATAGAGGAGACACTTGGTCCCTCCTGCCTAGCTTCTAGCATCCCTTCCTCTCGGCCCTCCATTGGGGGCAGCCGGGGTTCGCGCGGATTGACATCACTTGGCAAGACACATAGCTATGGCGAGGGCAAAAACCTTTTTCTTTGTCTGATTCCCTTTACCTTTCTGTACCATTCTGTTTTGAAACTGTTGGGTTGGTGTGTGTTTGGGGAAGGCTGTAGGAAGGCTGAGCCAGATCACAGCTTGTGCCCCCTTGTAGGGACAAGAAAGAAAGTGGATCTTAGAAACAAAGGAGAGATGTAGATTTGCGCACGATACCATTGAATCTGTTTTTTGCTTTGTTATGACGACGTGTGTCTGATCTATGCCTTGTAGTGTGTGCGTTGGTGAGTCGATTGACCTTTGCCTGTTGGGTCTGTGGTGCTGTCTCGACTTGATACTTGTTTATGACTGTTACTTGAGCATTCAATGCGCAAAGGTACGTACATGTCTGCCATGCATCTACCTATCCTCTTGTTCCCCAAGGTCAATGCGACTTGATCATTCGTTCGAGCCTCCTCATGTATCAACGTCGGCCTCACTCGCTCGGCTACGTCGTCACTAGGTACGACTCGCAGTATTCAACCACAGACATATATCTTTGTCTACTCATGATGCACTGGGTACGAATAGATTGGCACCAACGTATAACGGAACATCCTTTGCATCCAGTGACTTGCAACTGCGTCGACAACTTTGTAATTATCCACGATTCATGCAAATCGAGATGACCAGCTTCTGGTAATGGTCATTTACGTAGTGTTGTCCGAGCAACATGTCCAGCATCACCGTTCGGTCACCGAAAAATCTTGAAACACGATGCGTTGTCCGGTACGAGACATGAGAATCAACCGCGGGGAGCTGACTTCTGTACATGTATCCGCTGCAGTATCGCTGTCGAGTGAACCAATCCCCCTACACGTAACAAGCATTTGCTCCTATCTTAGCAAACTAGCACGGTTTTGTGGGCTTGACTAAGATTTATTTCCACAGATTGAAGCCTTCCTCTTTCGTTGTATTCACTATCTACGTCGGGGAGAGCGCACTGGCTAGCCATGACTACTGCCTTCTAGGCTTCCTTCCACACACCTAGAACCCCTCTACTATAAAAGCACGAGCGACCTACAGCTCTATAGTCTTTCCACAAAGTTCAACAACCCAGGACAAAAGTACCCATACACTTATTGTGCGATGGACTTCTCGCGCTTCCAGGCCATTGTGTCGGAGTTTAACTCTACTGGTAGCAATATCACCAGCGGCAGCATCCCGTCGACCGTTCTAGAGCTGTTTATTCCAGGCTACAGCACTATTGCGCATCTAACATCTCGCTACCTTGGATTCGACATCGGAGTCTTTGTGACATTCTGGCTAGCCATATTGGGCTTTTACTATGGAGGCACATTTAGCTACGACAAGATATGCTACTACTTCTACTTATATAATTCGGCATCCATCGCGATCGATGAGTCCGACGTACTGTTTGACCACGTCATGAGCTGGATAGCAGTGCAGCGCATGACGACGTCTAGTAGACATCTGACTGCAGCTACGCAATGGGTTAGCGAAGTCGAAGACATAGGCGGTGACGACGACGTACTGGACGAACGTGGCATTTTCAACTACGAGAAATGGTCGGGTAATATACCGCCGATGTACCAACCTAATTATGGTCATTACGACTTCCGCCATGAAGGGCGATGGTTCAGTTTCGCGCGGGTCAAGAAGAAGGACGATAAAAAAATCACCGAGTTTGATGAGGAGATTATAATCACCTGTGTGGGTAGGGATGCGCTGCCTGTCAAGGAGCTCATCGTGTACATTAAGAGGTGGAGCCTTAACAAAGCCAACACGCTTACCACGATCTACCAAGCGCCTGGACAGAAGCACAGTGGGGAACGGTACTGGAAAGAGTCGTCCAGACGTCCATCGCGACCACTGAGTACCGTATCGCTGGACTTACAGCAGAAAGGCGCAATTGTTGGGGATATTAACGAGTATCTCAACCCCTCTACAGCGCGTTGGTATGCGGCACGTGGTATCCCACATCGCCGTGGCTATCTCTTTCATGGACCCCCGGGAACGGGTAAAACGTCGTTGTCGTTCGCTCTGGCTGGCATTTTTGGGTTGAACATATACTGTCTCTCGCTTAATGACGGAATTTCCGAGTCCGAGCTAAGTGCCCTGTTCAACGACCTTCCTAGCCGGTGCTTTCTTCTTCTTGAAGACATTGACGCTGCGGGTATTAGGCGTGAAGGTCTTCCGCCTCCGGTTGTGGCCATGGAAAATGTCACACCCATTGTTGACGCACCCAAAATCGAGATACAGGACACTCCGACAAGTGTCATATGGAAGGTGTTCAGCATTTTTGCGTGGCCTTTCAAGGTTGCCTTGCTATTTTTCGGCTATCTTCGCAAGCCTGTACCGCACGAAGAGCCGGCGAAAGAAGCCCCTGCTCCAATGTTGCCCAAAGATACCCCACAGGAAGAAGTCAAAGAGGAATTCAGTAACGCATCACCGTCATCATCGTCACGAAATGCAGCCTACACAGAAGCGTCAGGAGGAGCTCAAGGATCGATCAGTCTGAGCGGACTCCTCAACTGCATCGATGGCGCCGCTTCTCACGAGGGCCACGTGCTCATCATGACTACTAACACCCCAGAGAAGCTGGACGACGCCTTGACCCGACCAGGTCGCGTCGACATGCAGATTGGTTTTACGCTCGCCACGCGCGATCAGATTCGCGACACGTACATGCGCATGTTCAGCAACGATAACCCCACACCCAACGTTACCCAGGCACCCAAAGTCACAACGAAAAGCCATATACCTACACAGGGAGCAAAGAAAGACCGGCTCGGCGATATTGTTATTCCTAAGAAGTCTATCGCGGCCGTCGTGGAGCCGGACAAGCTAGCGGAGATGGCACAGCAGTTTGCTGATGCATTACCGGAGAAGGTCTTCTCGCCGGCGGAAGTCCAGGGCTATCTGTTGATGCACAAGATGGATCCAGGTAAGGCGATAGAACAAGTGGGTAAGTGGAGAGAGGAGACGCTTGAGGCGAAGAAGAAGGCGAGCAATGTTGTTGCTGCCTGAAGCGAGGTTGAAACTGAAGATACAACCACGAATGATTTCCTGGTATCGTCCACGAACGGCCGAGGTTATTCCCAGTAGCAACGCCCAGATGTGGCACGTGTAAACCAGTGATGAATGTCTTCAGCAAACCTGCCAACAGTTTCATGTGTACTGTGTTGCAGCTTGTACATGGCGATATCTGCAATACAGTCTTCTACCCTCCACAGAACGGGTAGCTGCATGTAAGCAGCACCTGAACGTGGCTATGTGTTATGATCCGATGAGATAGGCCGTAATGCGATCGTAAGATTCGGTCGACGTGTTGCTGAGCAACGCTGCGATGTATCGAGAGGCAGGATCGTTGGGAAGCGGACATCGTGTCCTAAAGGTACGTTTGCGGGTATCGGGCGTTGCGGACTTCAGCATAGGCGTGTAGTGCCAGCGGCTTGACAGAGTGCTCAGTGTGATCTTGTCTTAGCTGGACATGTGTATGTGACGTTCCCAGATTGACTAAGGCCATGACACCGGGTCGGTACATCTTTTCTGCCCAAGGGGAATTGGGGCATGGCTGGTTGCAACGACCAAAAACTGAAGAGTTCCTTCCAACAACACTGTGGGAGCAGCAACAGAGGCTCGATCGCTCCCTGTTACACACCGTTCATCAGACTTGCTCGTAGTGCGTCATTCGCAGTCCTGTACAGTTACGCAAACCCACCTTTGCGTTGCGCAAAACAATTTGGTGGCTTGCATTATCCCTGGCAGAGGGATCTCGATGCAGCAGCGTCATGCACCTTGCTCATGTCCCTAATCCCAGTAAATGTGCGGTTATGTCATGTCTGAGTGGCTTTCTGGCCTCAAGACCCAGCGGCTATGTCATGCCGTAAGTGGGTACGGCGCTGCGGCTGCTCTGGCGAAGCGGGAACCTCGCCTGATGACGAGGTCTGTTAAGGGCATTAAATGTGGTGGTGTGTTTGTCGATCGTTTTCGATGCCGATCTATTTCGAGAACGACTGTCCTGCCACCGTTTTCAAAAATAAGCGACATGACATCACATCTGAACAACGGGGGGTGGTCAGCGCTGTATTGACGGGTAGGAGTCTCGAAGAATCCTAAGGCAATATTGAACAGGCTCGAGCTGAGTTCCCGAAGTGACAGTTGCTGTAGCAGCGAGCTGAGCGAGCTGGAAGGGAAGGCTTCTTGCGTCACTCGCATGCCCTTGACTCGTTCAGAGCTAAGCTCGACGCGAAACATCAGTCAGTGCCGATGACGATGAACTCGGCACATGTTCCGGATTGACGTTACTTCCCGGGACAGTTCCACTGGAGGTTTGGCATCCATGGTGATGCAAGCCGCAACTCCACGAGCAGCATCATAGCCCACAAAACGCGCAAACAGCCGCACCTCCCTGCGTTGTCGTGAAAACGTAGCGAGCAGCATCATGGGGCTCTAGCTAGGAAGCGTTGTGGGGTGGTCAAACCCGTCAACGTGGATGCAGATCTGCGGGTTGACATGACGTCCATTAGGCGCGGTTGTAAGAGGGCTAGAGCCGTCAAAGGGAGGTGGTTTCGATCCTCATACGGAGTCGCGATGTGTTGTGCGCGCTCGGTCTCAGAGCGATGATGCGAATGGGAAAATTGAGATGCGAATCTGGCAGGAAGGGTCTAGACGCAGGGTAGCGGCATCGGGAATTCGGCCAGGGGATCGAACATACTCGAAAATAAAGAACCACATCTTCGATTCGAACATGTCAAATAGGCAGCCGCATCTAATTTGACAGGCAGATAATGCAGCGTGAAGATCATCTTTCGTGGGTCGCAGCCTCTGTCATTTGCTTAGATTAATTGCACATTTTCGATTGGAGGGCAGGGTGATGATCACAAGCCTGGACATGTGGCCTCTGAAGATTCTGCGTGGATCTCCCCTCGTGGTCGTTCCAGCCTTGGGCGTACGAAGCCCAGAATACACAACCATACCCAGAGAGTTGCCAGCCTCGGTATCCTAGCAGTACGGCGCGCTCCAAGATGCCCAAGGCGGCAGCGTAATGAAGACATCGTGACCGGGCGGTACCTGCGTCGTTGGTGGCCGGGGCGGTTGGTAAAGACCCTGCATGACGATGGCAGTGGCTGAGATGAAGCCGTCACACGGACAAACGTCAGAAGTGACGATGTTGCGCCAGAACATGTTGCGCTGAGCGGTTGGGTGGGGGCTATGAACGCAACGGGTATGCGGTAGCGCGAGACCCTGCTTTTGCGAGCCCTCCGCTAGACCCGCTTATACATAGCCCATGCAGGAGCGCCGGGCCGATCTCTGCCGTACTAGGATAAGATGACGTTCTCTGGTGCACGGAAACTTTGGGGCGCTGGAGCTTGGAGGGATCTTCCACTTTGCTGGGCTGCAGCCCTTGTGGAATGCGAGTTTCGAAGTTGAGCGAAGGAGGAGGTGTGACGTCGCTGGGCGGACTCGGTGCTCCACGAAGCGTGCAGACAGCCGTGCCGCTGGAATGTTGACATAGCTTCTGCGTCATGGCAGCTGGGTGAGCCTCACGGTGAGTCCGAAGTCGATAGCCTACTATGGGGAAAATAGCAAGCAACATGCGAAATCAACAGTTGCCGCTCGGCGGCTCTCAGACAGGACGCTGGGCATGTGCTGCCATGTACCGCCTGACCCTCAAGTCGCGACACCAGTCAACAGACGCGGTACGCCTATCCTCCGCTGTCAATGGCCAGCCTGCCCTGCTGCTAGAAAGTCCCCTAAACAGTTGTCCCAGCACCCCCGTCATTGCCGACATCATCAGCAAGCCCGGAAGTCGTGATGCCCAGGTACCAGACCCACCGCAAACGGGGATGTGAGTATCGGAAGCCGGTGATTGGTGGACAAGGCCACCACAGCCCAACATAGAAGGACCCTGTAGATCTCTGATTGCAAGCCTCGAAGCTGGCGGCCCACTAGCGCGCTGGTCATGGTGGATCACTTCTTTGAGCCGACAGTCATGGGCCGATCTCTTGCCTTGCGCAGTCATGATGGGCCAAGTCGTTCCGTCCGCCTCTGTTGTGCGTGCGTTGTGAGACGCAGGAGGGTATATAGTTCGCACCCCGCTTGCTGATTCTCTAGATCCCATCAACAGCACCCAGCTCATCGATTCACATACAAATCCTCGATCTCCAGCACACCCTCCGCACACATCTTATCTTACTTAAGCTTCTACTATCTTGCCTCCATCACAACTTCAACTACACATCTACAACAATGTCTGCCATGACTGAGAACCGCCAACAAGTCTACGTCTCCGACGGCTTCTCGGAGCCCATGAGCGCTCAGCACAACTTTGCCAACAACTTCGACCTCAATGACCCCGACCGGGCCATGACCGACTACCAGAGGTATGTTGTTACTGTTGCACATGACTCGTATCAGTCACTAACAATACCAGGATCATGCACGAGCACACTAAGCGCCAGCTCACCACTGCCACCGACTCTGCTCGTCGACGAAGCGGCGCATCGTCTTCCGACTCTGTCAGCTCCGCCAGCTCATAACAATCATCTTGATTGTACATTGCACAACCATCTTCATTTCAAGCGTCTGAGACGCTATTTGTATTAGCGATGCATGGTTAAAGATCACGCTTTGATCTGACTTTATTTACGAGAGAGCCTGGCGTTTGGGAGTCTACATATGGCTTTCGCCAATGGCATGCACATCACGGTGTTGGATCGATTCAACGATATTCTCTTTATCTCAATCAATTCAACGTCTCTATCAGGAGATTTAAATCATCATTTACAATTACCCATTTGAGTGACATGTTCTTCCTTCGTGATATTGGTCACTTTTAGTTTCCGTGGTGGTCGTTCAACCTCCTTTCAACCTGTACCCGTGGCAACGTTGACGCGTGGACTTTGACCCTGGACGTCCTCGGTACGACGCATTGACCTTGACGCCTCTCATCACGCAATTCCAAGGTTTCACCGGCCACTTCTCATGCTAGCCATCAAGCCACGATACTCCCTACTTCTGCAGCATGCAACTTCGTACATGCACCAACGTACACACCGAAAGTTCCTCGCGAAAAGGCTTCAAATTCGAGCGCGAGCCCACAAGTACATGCAGATGACTACAGGGTCTTGCCGTCTCGCTTGGTCACAGTTCACCGTGGTTGCAGCGGCTACTGCATGTCGAAACGGCTCGTGCGACCACCAATTATTATCACTAGCCCCGGCCAGGACCCTGATTTTACAAAATGCACTAGTATCTTGCAGGATCTCGTCCAGAATCCCGTGATGCGGAAAGAAAAGCCGATGTAGTCCCGTTGAGGGCCAGGAAATTGCATGGTGCGAAGCTTGAATCTTGGAAGGAAGATGCAGGTGGGGCTGAAGGACCGAAAAGACACTCAGACTGTGGTAATGGGGTGTGGTTTCAGGGGAATGCGAGCAAGATTTACATCACAGCCATCTGATGTAAGCAACACCGTACTACATGTCTTGTTTACAGAGGCGCAGTGTGAGTAGAGTACCTAGGTAATGACAAGGCCTTTCGATCCACTACTCGTTGTACAACCAGGAATTCCACGTCCAGATTCCTTGCGATCAATTTCGGAGACACCACTAGAGACGCCGTTGACCTGGTCTCCCAGCATGTTCAAGCTCTAGACGAAGTTGCAATTGCAAGCCGTTTTCAGGTTTGTTCCCTGCAATAGTATGCACACGTGTTTGTGCTTCCAGCGCGACCCTTCCCAGGTTGAGCTCTGCATCCTGGATAACCACGCTGCTTTGATGCTGACGTGTCTCGGACTACCAAATTATCTACAGACATAAGAAGAACAACTACAATGCTCATTTGCGAAATATCAGCAGGAAATACTGCGGTACCTAGTATTCCACGTAGCGACCAATAGGCCAGCGCCTTAGCGCAGCAAAAGCTTCGGTCATACAGCTACCGAGCCGATATCGCAAATACTCCGAAGTTCTTCTGCCGACGAAGATTCGCGAGAAGAAGAATGGCGAGTGATTGTTGTTCTTGCTGCACGTGTCGCCATGCAACGAGGCCTCCAGAAGCAAGCCATACTGCCACGGGCCGAGCAGCTTGCCCGGATTGGCCGGATGTCCACGGCTGTCCCCACCAGTGACATCGTTGACAAGCTTCAATGCGAACTCTCATCAACCGTCAATTGTCACCCTTCAATCGCTTCGTTGAAGTTGCGCTTCGTCCATAAAGCTTCTGCATTGCTTGCTTTATTTTCCTGTTCGCTCTGCATCTTCCGTGTCGCGTCGCCTTCGTCATGCGCTCCTTCGCTCTTACCGCCAGTCTGGCCGCGCTCTGCAGCGCAGCACCATATGGGCAGCAGACGCCACTCAAGAACATACTCGAGAACACAGACAAGAGCGATAAATACACGTACCCAACGGATTTTACGAGGGAGATTATCCCCAAGCCGTTCCACAGCCATAATGATTACTGGCGCGATGTGCCGTTCTATTCGGGTCTGAGCCAGGGTGCTATATCGACAGAAGCTGATGTGTGGCTTCTAAATGGCACGCTCTACGTAAGGTACGCGTCTTGAATTCATCCGATACCGCTAATGAATGATAGGTCGGCCATGAGCCTGCTGCCCTTACCGACAAGCGCACTCTCCAGTCTCTCTATCTGGAGCCAATTCTCGACACTCTGCATCGCCTGAACCCGAAGACTCGATTCGTGCAGCCAGGCGAGCAGAATGGTGTATTCGACACCTCTAGCGGACAGACTCTTTACTTCTTCATCGACTTGAAGACTGCCGCCGATGAGACCTGGCCCGCTGTTCTTGAAGCCTTAGAGCCTCTGCGAAGCGGCGACTGGTTGACAACTTACGACGGAACCAATCTGCGCAAGAATCCCGTTACCGTCATTGGAACTGGAAACACCCAGCTTTCGGACGTTCTTGCGTCGTCTCCACGTGACGTCTTCTTTGACGCGCCACTTGCTGATCTCAACGACTCCAAATATGCCGACCTCACCGCAAACGAGTCACCAATTGCGTCCACAAACTTTGCGTCGTCCTTTGGCGAAGTGCGCAAGCGGGAGTTCAACGATACGCAGCTGGAGACGCTGAGGAGCCAGCTTGACATGGCACATGAGAAGGGCATCATGGCCAGGTATTGGAACCAGCCGGCGTACCCGATCGGTACGAGAAACGCGGTTTGGCGTATTCTCTGGGACGAGGGCGTCGATCTGCTCAACGTTGATGATCTTGCGGCGGCGGCTGCCTTCTGGGAGGGCACTGGTTAATGAACGAGATGTATCTGGGCTACACAAAGCTATATGCACATCAAAGTACATAGGTATATAAGTAATGATCAAGGCCATCCAATGATGAATTCATGAAAATAAGCAATTGCTCGCAATGGTTCGTCGCGTGAGGCACACGTTCGCAGCTCGCTTAGTGCGGCTCTTTCTGGTTCCTGCAGAAGCTCATCCCTGTAACCCCGGATTACGTACTCGCCCGAGATTTTCCACATGTCAGTCATCTCAGCAATTGCGTTCTAGATCCCATCTCATATTCTTTGTCCTCATCAGAGACTACCCGGCAGACATCCTCACCACCGTCTTTCCACATATATCCGTCACCTACGTACGCGGCTGTGCCGGGACTCGCTTGCATAGCTATAGCCGGCCGCTCTTTGTTCAGAGAAACGTTCACGTCGCGTTTCATCGCTAGGGAAGGGACCTGCAAGCTTGCGAGCATCTGTCATCAAGAGTAAAGTCGCAAGGACTTTGGGCCAGCTCCTCCGACTTTTGAGAGCTGCTCCAAAATTGTGCGACTGAGAAAGAGCTAGGAATTCGGTGGTTACGTCATAGCGAAGATGTTTCCTCCATCGCAAGGCTTGCGACTGGACATTGATGCCATCAGTCAGATATTTGGTTCAATAAGCATCGCATGCTGGATAGGTACGTGGGATACAGCTTCTCGTACTGCTACGTGCTGTGCAACGCGCTTGCCTTGTGTTGCTTTTGCATGGCTGTTACCTCGGCACGCCGGAGCTAACGTGTGCGACAGTTGTTTTCTCACCTCAGATTATCGAGAATTGGAAGAGAGGCTCAGCGGAGGGCCTTTCAGTAGTCTTCATCGTAGTATGGCTACTCGGCGACTTCTTCAATATCATAGGCGCGGTGCTGCAAGGTGTCCTGCCAACGATGACCATATTGGCCGTGTATTACACTCTAGCCGACATCGTGCTGCTGCTACAGTGCTTCTACTACAAGGGCTTTACGTTGCGCGATGAGTATAAGAAACCCGCCGATGAATCCGACACGGATAGCGAAGTTAGTGAGCAGTCACCGCTTCTACCTCATCGCAGACCCCAGTCGAGCGGCTCACCCTATACAAACGGCAACGGCCATGGAATCGAAGTCCAGAGACCGCGCATTTCGGATATCGATCGCCGTGGCTCAGGCCATTCCCAAGGGTCATTCCGTGAGCGCTATCTCTCCATTGACGGCACGCATCTCTCGCCTGTCACACCGCTCCACGATGACTCAACTGCTGCACATCAAAATGGCGCAGTTACAGCCAGGTCTCAGCCGACCCAGTCCAGTCTGCAAACGATCCTCTTCAATCTTGGAACCATAGTTCTTGTATGCGCGGCCGGTGTTTTCGGTTGGTATCTTAGCGCACGAAACTCCACCGCTCCCAGCCAGCCCGACGGCGAGGACTCATCACCCGAATCAACCCTGCACTTCAACCTTTGGGGCCAGGTTTCAGGTTACGTTTGTGCCGCGCTTTATCTTGGGTCCCGCGTCCCACAGCTCCTGCTCAACTACCGCCGCAAGTCGACCGAGGGCATCAGCATGTTGTTCTTTCTGTTTGCTTGCCTGGGTAACCTGACGTATGTTCTGAGTATCCTGGTATACAAGCCCAAGTGTGGGGGCCACGTTTGTCAAGATGGGGAGGGACGCGCTGAGTACGGCAAATACATTGCGGTCAATATGAGCTGGCTGTTGGGCAGCTTTGGCACATTGTTGTTGGATGCCGGCGTGTTTGTGCAGTACTTCTTGTATAGGGTGGACGATGATGAGAGTGATGAGGAAGAGTAGACAGGTTCTACGTCAGGTGTCAAAAGTGTATTGAAATGAGCGTTTTGGTACATGCATGACGATTGATCATGCGGGCAGTGCGTGCACAGCCACGAGATTGTATATTATACATAGCGGCGTCTGTTGGGACAGCTGATTCCTTCTTTAGGAGTCTAATCGGTGCCTGGAGTTGCTAAATGCTTAGTAGTCTCGACTTCCGACATCAAGATACGGGATTCGCCCGGGTTCGTTTGCGGCCGACTGGCTACGTGCCACGCGCATTCGACGCCTTGGGCTGGAATACGTGCGTTTGCTAGCACGCCAGAGTAAATTCAATCAGAATTCAACAGAATTTAAGCATCTCATCACATTCCACTCCTCTTCATCAGTATCTCGAAACAACATTATCTTGCTCTCTATCTGCGACGTGACAGGCAACCACCGGAATTGGTCAACACAACCATCATGCCCACTAACAAGCACTTGAAAAGTTCGTTGAGTTCTTTCTCCCTATGCAGCAGAGTTTTTACTAACATCTGCAGGCATTGTCTTCTGCGCCGCCGCGAAAGTAGAAGCAGACATACGCACCTACCCCACACGCTTCCACGACATCGAAGAAGTCAAAGAGTACATCAACACTACCTGCAAGCAGTCTGGGAACCAGTACATCACCACCAAGCAGTTCTTGACGAAGCAGGAGCTGGCATACATCAAGGACAAGGTATGCTTTGTTGTAGCCTGCAAGGCTTTCAAGCAGGGAGAGTTCTACCTGGAGGTCGGATTGGTAGATCGGCCGGCTTTGAGAGGTATGCTTGTTGCGATTCTATGTTTGTACTTCCGAAACTCATATGTAACGTGCTTTAGCGGCCGTCGAAGCAGACATTGGACGCCTCCTTCCTCTCGTACCTTATTGGCCCCACTTCTCCGGTGTGGACGATGCTCTTGTACACGTTGACAGTGTTGCACGTTGGAAAGGCTTCGCATACACAGAGTTCAAAGGGGTTGAGAAGGACAAGTTTCGGCGTTACGTAAACTTCAATACTGTGAGACATGCTTTTGAAGATGGTCGCTTTGAGATGGATGTCCCCGGTGAGGATTGGCGGTGCCGAAAGCCCAAGGGGTCAAAAGCGCCTGGGATGAAGTTGACTACGATGAACCGTATGCCATCTCACTTTTGAACGCTTTATGCTACACTGACTCATTAAATAGGAGCTATCGAGAGCGACATTAAAGAGCTCTTCACCCGCATCCCCACATGGCTACCAACGTTCTCTTCCCTCAACGCGGCCCGGGACTACGTTGCCGGTTACTCGCGCTGCATCCACTTCTCATACACATACTGGCCTGACATCGAACCATTTCGCTTCCGGAAGATCGTCAACTTCAGCACGGCAAAGCTGGCGTTTAAGCGGGGAAAGTTTAAGATCTGGGAAGGATATGAGGAAGAAGAGCAGTCTGATGATACGGATGAGACTGCCGTCGAGAGCACTGAAGTCAAGAAGACAGAGAGGGACGTTTCTACACTGGCGTATCGGATCCGTTCCACCGAGTCTACTGTGACCCCGCCTGTCGAGACACCCGTCTTTTCTACTGCCACCGCCTTCGGAGACGCTATCGACTCCATCAACACGGCGATTGCGGATACTACTGCTAACGATGTGCCAGACTTGCTGCTAGAGGAGATTCCTGGGTGTGTGGGCATTGTACAAGAAGATCAGGAGCCCGACATACCAACCCAGGTGGCTACGGTGCCGCTTTTGGTTGAGATTGACGAGGACCCGTTCAAAGTGAGTGTCTCTTAGTGTAATTCCTGGGCATCTGCTAACCATCTTCACTCCAGGATTTGATCGCTGTCTTGAAGCGTGAGAGTGTTCTCAAAGCGGCTTTCGAGTGATGCAAGTTGAGAGTCTGGGGTACTAAATTGTGTTGCGTGCATCAAAAAGTTGTGTCTTTTGCTTGTACACTGCTGCCTGTGTAGCTGGTCGATGGTGGGAGCAAAGGTGACCATCGACACATATCATATCATATTCGAGGTTGTCATACTACTGCTCAGATATCCGAGGAATCAATTTCACTCGGTATTCAAACCTCATCACCGCTCTCCTTCTCGTTATCCACGATGTCAATCACATCATCCATGACAGTCTCCTTACCCTTACCCTTTCCATCCCTCTTCGCCTTCAATTTGGCAATCTCAATCTCAATGCCCATATCGACCTCCCTCCTCAGGTTCTTGTAGAAACCCATCTTGAACAAGATCTCATACCACACGAACAGCGGTGCCAGAAACAGGGCTTGGACCAGATTGTCTAGCAAAGCCGGCTTCCGTCCCTCAAATTTTCCGTGTCCTACAAATTGTAGTATCCAGCTCACGACATGAATGGCACCGGCAATGCTGTTGACTTTGGTCTTGTTGTAGCGCTGCGTGAGGCGGTTGGAGAGGGATGCGAAGGCGAGGATGATGGGGGTGACGGCGACGCCGGCGAGGTTGGGGGAGAGCATGAGGTATAAAGTCGAATAGGTGGCTGCGGCAATTGTGCCTAGGTTTAACGGAAGGTTGAGACGCGTAAGGAGCGGGTGCTGACGGATGGGGAGGGTGGGTGTGTTGGTGCCCTAGAAGGTCGGGTCAGTCAGCGATCTATACTGAGAGGACGGAAGGATAGGATGGCGACGCACAAACAAGATTCCTGTTGCGAGCAGGACGGGCACGCATGCTATGTGGATGGCGACATTGGTTGGATCGCGGTGGTATGCGCCATACTGCTCTTCGCATTAGCCAGCGAGCGCGCTCTGGGGCTGTACGGGCGCCATTACGAAGACGAGGTTCTTCTTCAGGTCAAAGACTGGCATCTTGGGTGTTCGTCAAGCAGACGTGATGCTTTGCGACAAGGCTGGTGATGTGCTCGCGAGGCGGCGGCAGCGCAGGCGTTGTATAAGAGCGTGCGGGAACTGCGGAAGATGCGGGGAAATGGCTGCGAGAAGCGGATCCGACGTCCAAGTCAGGGGAGCAACGTATGGGGGTAAGTCAACTTTAAGTCGGAAGACAGGAAAGGAAGAGGATATGCCCCGGGATCGTCGGGTTCCTGGAGCTATGGGGTTGCTGATGGTCAGCCCACCCTCGCGGCGGCGGCCGTGATAGCTGCGCTGGGGTGCATTGGCTGGTGGTTAGCTTCGTGCCGAGGCTGACTGCCGAGGCACCTCCTGTCAGAGCCCTTTGGGGTTTGGCGCAGCATCCGAATAGCCGTTGCGATGCTTCCTGGTGCATGTGAAAGTGGTTGATGGTGGTTTCCGCTAGCATCCAGATGCGCGCTGCGCTTGAGAAGCGCGTTTTTGTGGGGCCGCATGACGATAGGCGTCGTCTTGAGTAGTGGGGATTCTGTCGGCGATCCGTCTCCACGACGAACCACTTCACATCGCCATCTACCTTTGTCAAGTCTTGTCTAATGCCATTTCGTTACCCTACTGCTGTGGAAGTCATCACACATCCAACGAAAGAGAGAAGGAGCAATGCGGAACAAGCGATGGGTCCGACTAAAATTACAACCCAGGACAGACTGTAATGCCCAGTTGAGCAATTTCGAGGGTATTAACAACAAAGCGATAAGAGCAGCCTTAAGCTTTAGTTTGTGTTACACTTTATAGAGATAAAATTTTGTTTTATCTAATTACTAATAATACTACTAAACTTAATAATTCTAATAAGTTAGCTAGCCTAATAATGCTAAATCTATAATATATAGCTTATTTATTTATAATAGTAAAGCTATAATTACTATTTTTAATAGCTATTTATAATACCTCTAGACTTATATAACTATTTTTTTAACTACTATAGTAGTAGTATTAAACTATATAGTAATTATATTTAGCTTTTTTACTTATTACTATATATAAGTAATAATATCTACTTTATTTATAAAACATTTTTTTTTTTAAAAAGTAATTTCTTATATTCTTTTTTATAGTATTTAGTTTTTTTTTTTTTTTACTATTATTTATAATACTTTAATATTTTATATTACTAGTACTTTTTTTTATTTATTAAGTTAACTATTACTTTAGTATACTTTTAAAATAATTATATAAAGTATAAAAGTATTAACTATAGTAGTAAATACTTTTACTTTATTATTTTTATTTTTATAAAACTTAATTTTTTTAATATTTTAAAAGCGTATATTAGTAGTATAAAAGTAAATTTAAGTCTTACTAAAGTTTATAAAGTACTTAAAAACTTAATTTAGAAAATATAAAGTAAAAATATTAAAGATCTAAGCTATAAAACTAATATAAATATCTAAAGTAAAATTAAAAAAAGTAAGTTTTAATAAAAAGAGTAACTATAGTTTTTATAGTATAGAGTTAAAGTTTTTAAACTTATACTAAAACTAGCTTTTACTTTTAAAAGTTTTTTAGCTAGCTATTTTATAAAAGCTTTTAAAATACTAAAATAAATATTTATAAAAAGTTCTAATATTATATAAGTATAAAAAAAATAGTAGTAGTAAAAAAATATATACTAACTTATATATAAAAATATATAGTATTTTTACTTTATAACTATAATAGTTTAGTTTCTTAGATATTAGATTTACCTTAGGCTAATAGTCTATATATATATATTTTACCTCTAAGTACTTCTTCTAAGCTTTACTATAATAATATTATAATTTAATATAATATTATTATCTAATCTTTATATAACTTTTATATATTATTATAGTCTTTAATTCTCTAATAGTAACTTAGTAATATAGCTAGTTACTTTTATAAAATCTATATAAGTAACTATATTATTAATTCTTTAGTTTCTAGTTAGTAACTCTCTAATTAGAGATATTTTCTATATTCTTTTCTATACTACTAGTTTTAGTTCTACTATAAGCGCTATAACTAACTTAGTAGTAACTACTCTTAGTAGTAGTATTCTTTTATTTACTAAGTCTACTATAGCCTCTACTACTTATAGTTAGTATAGTAGCTAGCTATAGTAGTCTATATTCTTATACTATACTACACCTACTATAGTTATCTAGAACTTTCTTATAACTACTATCTTTAGTTTATAAAACTTTTATTAGAATCTACTTTACTTCTATAGATTCTCTAATCTATAAAAGAATAGCTTTTAAGAAGAAGTAGTAAGCGTATAATTATAGTAGCTATAAATAGAATAAAAAGTATAAGTATAGTAAGTATAAGTTAAGTAGCTAGAATATAGTAGATATTCTAAGTTAATTTAAGTTATATATATATTATTAGAGTATAGTAGCTAAAGAGCTAAAGAAAAAGAAAAAGCTAAGAAAGTAGTTTAGTTATAAGAGAGTAGTAGTAAAAAAGCGCGTAGCGTATTTATAAGAACTTTAATCTAAGAAGTATTTTATATTAAATATTTTCTAAATCTCTAAATATTTAAAAGTATTAATAAAATAATACCTTCTTTTATTCTAAGACTAGTTATAACTAGTAAGTATTCTATAGTATATATATATATATATATAGTAGCTAATTATATATAAATCTAGAAAGCTATCTAATATAAATTATAAATAAAATAAACTTTAAGTTTCTAAGCGTAGAGATAATTATATATAAAAAAGTAGCTAAAGTTACTAAAAATAATAAAAAGATAACTAGCGTATTAAAGCTAAAGTTATAGTAATAGCTTAGTTTATTTAGATAGTTTTTTAAAAATATAAAAAAGTAAGTAAGTATATAGTAAGTATATATATATATATACGTATATATAGCTATATAGTATAGACTAATAAAAAATAAGTAAGCTAAAAGGCACTAAGAATATATTTATAAAGTAGTAGAATAATCTAATAAAGATATTAATTATTTAGATTAGCTAGTAGAAAATAAGTAATACTAGACTAGAATTCTTAAAGGCGCTAAAGATATAAGATAATCTAGAGAAGTATTTTCTTTTTACTTAAGTAGTACTAAAGCGCGTAGTATAATATATTAGTTAAGTCTTATATTAGTATAAGTATTTATATAGTAGAGTAATTATTTATATTAAAAGTTATTAAAGTTAGAGAGTAGTTATAATTACTTAATTATAGATATGTAATTACTTAGCTCTTAGGTATATAACTAGAGATTTTATTCTAACTTTCTTTTATAGTAGATTAATTATAATATACTTAATAATCTTTAATTATTAATTATCTCTAGCTCTAATAGTTATAAGCCTAGCTACTTAATTATAGAACTAATTTCTACTATATATTAAAGCTTACTAAAAGATAAATTAGTTAATTTTATTTCTACTTTACTCTCTTTAAATATTTTATAATTAGAACTTTTCTTACGTAATTACTTAATTACTACTTACTTCTTTATTATTCTTTATATCTCTATATTAATTCTACACTCTAACTTTATAGATATAAGTAATTATAATATAGCTATTATAGCTATAGATATACTTTTTAAGAAGTAATCTAACTAGAATACTTAGTTTACGCTTCTTAAGTAATACTATAATAAAAAGAGTATCTAGAAAGAGATTAATTCTAATCTTCTAGATATTAAATATATAGATACTTAGAAGTCTAAGTTTTTTAACTTTTTAGTTCTAGAGCTTATAGCTCTAGCTTCTCTCTCTATAGAGCTAACTAAGAATTAAAAGAATAAGTATAATAAAGCTACTTATAAGTATAATACTTTCTTATAAAATTATAATTATAAGACTAAGAATAGTACTATACTTATAGCTTACTAGAACTATAAGACTAAGTAGTAGTTAAGAAAGAGTAAGAAAATTAATAATATTAAGAACTAGATTATACGCACTATTATACTAGATTATCTATTACTTATAACTATAAGTAATAATAGTAGAATAGTTTAGTTTTTTATAAAAACTCTTAAAACTATACTTAC